CTTTGCAGCAAAACAGAAGTGTGAAAGCCTGTGCACATTGGAAGAGATTCAGCCAAATAACTCATACAAAACAACTCTACAGCACACGCTAAAGTATTCTCACGCTGTTGAGTAACAAAAAGCACGTACAAAGTATGAAAGACTTGCAGTGGAGATTTTCCTTGCTCTTAAAATTTTCTCCAATGAAACGCCTCTAGATGAAGTTTCCCACTTCTGGGAGACTGTTTCTTTTAAGCTCCATGTGCTACATGCAGCTCAGCTGTTTCACAAAGCTAATAAAAAGAACGTATGCCAAAATAGTTAAAGGCTATAACACTCCATGAAACCACTGAAGAGCCCTTAAGACTGATCAGTGCTGAAAGTGTCGAATTTCAATTCCTCAAGGACATGAAGGACACCTACACAAGACTACCAAGTGGAAAGCCAAAGGTTTATCTGCAGAGCAGTGTACTGAAGGGGAATAGGCAGGAGTCACAGTTACAAGTTTCACAGAGAAATCTGCAAGCATCCAGAAGCTCACAAGAAGTGCCTTCAGGACTTGCCTTTTCCTACTCATGACAGGACAAAGGCAGTTGTCAGATTCTTAAGAAAGGCTAATGTTAAACCTTTGCCTATGTCAAAGATACATGATACACCACGGAAGAAAGAGCTCTTCAGACCCACATGAAAGCGTACCCAACTTTAACTTCTCTTACTGAATTATTTTTTCCAAATTTGAGAGGCCAGATAGGAATCACTGCTATGGTGACAGACCAAATGGAAGCGTCTGGCAAAACGACGAGTGCGCTTGCTGTAAAGCAAGTAGTTTTTTGCTGATGGTCTCCCTTTTTCATAAAAATAGATAAATAGCTTTTTTATCTCCCCCCCCACCTGACTTGAATAATACCTTTTGGGGGAAAGCCCAACAAAACCCAATGCTTTTTGCCGTTAAGATTCCCAATAAAAAGCAATTCAAGACTGACACATAAATCCTATGCACAGAAATATAAGGCTTTACTTGATATCAAGAGTCAAAGTAAATGGAAGAGTAGCTAAAAAGCTTACAGAGGTTTCATTCCTTCTACTTCCTTTCCCAGCAAAATCCATCTTCTTGATACTTAAAGATACAAACACACTTCATTCCTCTCTTGTTGAAATTAAGATTCATAACAGATTTTGACCTATCAGCAACTGAACCGGAAAGTCACAAGACACTTCAAAGAGAAAAATATGACAATTAACAGGAATATTGATATGTTATGCAGAAAAGTGTTTTAACCTTTGAAACTGCAGTGAAGAAATAACAGTGAGACAGGTCTTTTTACAGCTCTAGTAATTTGCTTACTATTAATGCAAAAAGCTGCCGTGCCTCTTTGTTAAAGCCCAAATATACTAAAGACCTCGTAAAACATCTCTTGAATTATGAACGCCTCCATTTGAATTATCTCAGCCAAATGAGCAAGAAGATCCTGGAATTTCTTGTATTTATTATGCAAAATAGTCTGAGTGAATCGTCATTCTTCCTCCTCTTCCATCTGAGTCAGTGCTCAAAAGGTCCTCAGCCTAGGAGGATTAAGGCAGGGAAGACACCATCGGTGGGAATAAAGAAACTGCTAACCAGACCAAGAATGTTTTGCAAAAGTCAATGACTTCACTCATTATCTGAAGTGGTAAGGAAGAAAAATTAAGAGTAGCTGGTATAAAGGTCTGGTGCATATCTCGCCACAAACGTTCAAAGCAACTGAACAATGTAAGGATCATTCAACATTCACTGCTATTTGAGGTTTTTAGGGCATATGCAAAGGCACAAGCATTCTACGAATTAAGATCAGTACTGAAAATTGCCCAGAGAAGCTTTAATATTTGTTTTAAAACAGACGCTTGCTTTTAAGAAAATTATGGTGATGAATACATGCAGTAGCTCCTTCTTTGTATGAACTGGAAAAAAGCACTAGAGGAACTGAAGCTACTGACAACTGTTCTGTTTGCAGTCTATAATATTAAATTACACTGTTATACACATAATAAAAAAAACCCTCCACATACTTTTCTACCATAAGCCCTGCTGATTACAAGAGCGATCTTTGAAAATTCTGAAGACGCAGTACATCAAAAGCTACTGGCAGCTAGATGTAAGAAGAGTCAACTTTGTAGTACAGTTATGTAAATCAAGGCTTTTTAAAGCTTTATTCTTTACTGTCGATTCGAACATTACAGTGAAGGACACTTAGTACCTAAACACACATATGACTATGTCTCACATTTTTCCTGTTGACTCTTCTAGGGTTATAAATTATCATTTAGTAGAAAAATCAGGAAAAAATACCTTAAAATCAATTCCTCCTACAAAGATGCGATTTGGAGTAACTGTTCCAAACCTTGGAGCACTGGTCAGATGATATAATGGCACCGGGGACACAGCGTTGGGAGATGAAGATAAAGATTCTGTTTGCGTCTGATTTGTTATCAGCTGCTGGAAAGAAAATATTGTCAAATATTTTCAAAATCTTCCATGTTGTAAGTTACTAAATAAAAAAATTCTCAACTGAAAACACATACAGAATATTTTGGGAGGCACAACAAATGCTGAACAACTGAAAATTAACCACAATTTTTTTATTCAGAATGCAGCTCAGAACAGCATTTTAACATAAGCTTAGTTTTAAGCAATTTGGTGACTGTCAGAATACTCTACGATCTGAAGTTTGACGTTTATTTTAATACCTTTCTGCATTAGATATTTAGGGCCTAAACCCCCAATCTTAGTTTGTCTGTTTGCACAGCGCCCTGCTGTATGAATCCCAAGTTATGAACTCTATTTCAGAGCTTAATTTATAGCTATTAGAAGCCCCTTAGTTTACACGCCTACAGAAAGGACCTTTTCAGTTCAGCCTGCGCTCTCACACAGATATATAAAACTGCTCTCTGCAACAGCTTCTGCTTGATTTTCCCAGTGTCAAGCACCCATAATTCCACCACATAAAAATCAAGAAGCACATGACAATTGATGAGAGCAGCACTTGGAAGACTAGTCTTTCAGTTGGACACTCTCTTGGCCTACAAACACAGCACACAGAGATCCTAACAAATTCTCTCTGCAAAGGAACCACCAGATTGCTCTTGCCCCAGGAAAGGAAGGCAATACAGTACGGTGGGCACTTCACAGAAACCATTAGTTAGTGAAGTCTGACTGATGTTTTAACTTCCACCACGCTTACACCTGTGAACTGTGAAACAATACAGACTTGCAATTCATTGGGAACCCTTTTCAGAACAAAGTAATACTGCCTTCCGTAGTCAATTCTAGCTGTGAGATGATAACTGTAAAGCAGCCATGTAGTACTGTCACTACCTTCTCTACTAGGAGCTGCAGCAGAGGCTTCAAGGCCATTTTCGCAGCAGTTCCCCCCCACAACTCCACCTTACTGAAGCCAATCCTGGGCTATAATGCCCTGACAGCACCACTCGGGAAGGAGCCCAACGTGAAAAACAAGCAGCTGCCGCAGGCTGCAGATAACGAGACTAACCATAAGCAGAGTAGTGTAAACTAGAAGTAGGAATCTAGGGGTCTCGGCCTCCCACCGCTCTTTTGAAAGGATTTCGAGAAATGTATTTTTTCTTACTGTTGTGCAACCCTTAAATTTCATAGTGAGGATCAAATACATGCAAGCATATTTAAAAAAATCAAAAGTTACTGCATCTAGCAGAAAGTTCTTTCACTTCTTGCGGTATCTGTATCTTCCAGCCTCTCAAAAACTAGAGCAAAAGTGCTCTTGAACATTTCTCCCCACAGAATCTCCCATTCATTTACACTGTGTATTTTACTTCCTGATTTTGCCCCTCTCGCTTATTCACTGGACAGTATCTTGTTGACATGGACAGCATTTTCTTATCTCTACCTTGAGGCCTTCCTGGATAAAAACAAATCCCTTATCCTTGGGAGAACACACAAAAAATGAAGGCTGACAGTTAAAGCGCTGTGAGAAACTGAAGATCAACTACAAAGAAGAAAGTTAGGGGAAAAGTAATCTTTTTGTTTGCCCCGCAAGCCCTTCCAGGATTACTTGGTATTTCCCTAGCTGCCTGTTAACTAGTCCTATTAATTTGGAGTAACAGGTTAATGACATTGTTTTGGATACCTTAAAGACAATAAACCCAGCTTAGTCCACGCCTCTATTTTCAGGAAGACAAAAATCCTTTCCAAATTTACTAAAACATACCCATTTGGGGCTGAGGAAAGACCCAAGTCCGAAACCTCATCTATTCAGGAGAAAGCGTGCATTCCTCCTATTGGGAATACTACCCTAGAGTAGTGCCTAACCTGAAAAAACAACACCCCAACACTTGCAGGCCAACAACATCCGTAACTCCTACAGTGCCAAAGGCTTTCAGAGAAAGAAAGTGTTTTTTGTGGAGAACAACTTTTGAAGGTCAATGAACAGGTTGCTTTCCTCATCTCTCACGCTGAATACAGCATTCTACAGGTACACTCGTCTGGCAATTGTGTACAGCACTAAAATATCTGAATTTCACTATGAAGCAACAATTAATAGTTGACACCACAGCCAAAATGTATTCCTTACCTCAAAGACGTCAAATCTCATTTTCTTCAAAAAAGTTTTATGAGCTGTCTTATTTAAAAAAACACCCCCCAGCACCCCAAATGGCTCGCTTATCTGCCAATACAGTAAATCCCAACAAATTTCAAAACCTTAATGTCTGTATTCTGAGAGCTATCTCGACACTGTTTCCTCTCTTTAATACCAGTATAACAGTCAGAAAAGTTTTAAAAGAGATCTATATGTTAACAGCACATCACTTGGCTAATTATTTGTGTTTCTACAGGTTTTTACGCTCACCTCCCCCCCAACAGCACGGATATGTGTACTCCTCACTATTTTTATGAGTTATTTAGCGTGTTTAACAATTGGTCTTTACCAAAACCGGTAATTTTCCATTTTTACGTCGAGCACATCCGCAGCCACCCGCCCGCCACGCAGGCCTGGGGACCCACCCAAACACCCCCCTTCCCGCGG